CCAGCCCCACCCCGCCGACCGCTGAGGGATCCGAAGCCCCCTGCGGCCGTAATCTGCTCATTAGTCTTTGTCATATTGCAAGCCATCGTCAGGTGGGGTTATTTTACAAGCTACCCCAAGCCGGGTTCTCAGTTTTCCTTCTGAGTCGCTGTTGACCAATTCACCCATTGGTCATATGTCCCGCTGCCGCGCACCATAGCTACCATAGATAGGGGGACTTTTATAGAGGTCCAGCTCGCCGTCCGAGAAGTCGGGTGCAGTCTCGGACGCTCGGTCTCTTCCAGTGGTGCTAGGGAAGAGATTACGATAGCTCAGGCACCGCGGGTTCGCTATACCCGTAGTGGGATCTCTCCCGATGCGTCCGGGAGTACCGGAACGCACCAGAAACGACCCCACCCCTTGCGGGGAACCTCTTTTTTTTTTTTTGTTTTTTGGTTACGCAGTGTAAATGCATTTACGCATACCCGGCTCTTCGGGGGAAGAGACCGGGTTATGTGGGACTCACCCGGCCCCGAGTAAAACCGGGACCGGGTACTACCCACTAAAACCACTGCGGGTGTCCTAACCGTGGCGCGAGGTGAGTCGGACCGGGATCTTCGCTGACTGCAGTACTACCGGCCCGACCCAGCGCCAAGCGCGCGGTTACGCACGCGCTATCCAGAACTTAAGAAAAGTTCCGGCGAAGGGGGACACCACCTCCCCTCGCCGCCTAACTCCCCGAGCCACTCAAGGGGGGGCCGCCAGACCCCCGTCTGGCGCCCCGGCTAGCGGGGGGCAGCATCGCCGGCCGATAACAGGCCGGATGCGCCGACCTCTCCGGATCAAAAGGAGAGCTCCAAAAACGATCCGAGTGCTTCCAAATCTCGGAAGTCAAGTCGGATCGCAACTTCTTCCAGGCAGAAAGAGCTGCAAGAAAATGCAAAGCTCTGTTCCGCCTCATCCCGAATCGATCCCCTTGCCCTATTTAACGGGCTCGGGTGATCAGTCTGGAGGGTCATCTACCAGACGCGGCTGGGATGCCCTCCCTGATTCTCTCACTCGCCTCTTTCGCGCTCATCACCCTCTCCGCGAAAGAGAGGAATGCTCCTCTTCCCTCCTCCGATAGTAAGGCCCTGATTACGGAGCCCATCGACAAATCCGAGCCGACTATATTCCTGAGGGAGGCCCTTTGTGCCGCCCAAGCCGGGCACCGCACCAGGGTGTGGGACGCTGTGTCCCTGGACGCAACGCAATGCCAACAGCGTTCTGTCGTTTCTTTTCCGATGCGACGCAGATACCGGCCGAAACAGCCGTGGCCCGTGAGTATCTGCGTCGCCCGGTATGTGAGGCCAATCCTGGCCTCAACCCATCTCGGCAGGCAGTCCCGAAGCGCCACCAGCGTCTCGTTTCCTCGCTGCTCGGAGACAGAAATCCATGACCTCCATCTGTCGAGCAATCTGAGTCTGCCGCGCTCCCGGATTTGTCTCACCTCATCCGGAGGGGCAGCGACAGATCCCGTCCGGGATCTCAGCTTGGAGACCTCAAAGTATGTTTCCGCGTGGTATTCCGCGGTTAACTCCAGCGGTGGTGTACCGGCAAGGGCGGTGCACATCGCATGGGAGACCGTCTTGTAGGAGCATATTATTCTCCCCGCGATTCTGCGTTCCGCAGCCCTCAGTGCGGAGCGTATGGTACGCCCCTTCCTCACCCGTTCCACCCAGACGGGGGAAGCATAAAGAGCAATAGATGCGATGACACCCGCGAAAAGGCGACGAGTGACGATCCCCGGTCTGCCCATATTCGGCATGAGCCGGCTCAAGGAGAGGGCCGCCTGCTCCGTTCTCCGTGCCACTCTCGAGAAATAGTCCTCGAAAGATAGTCTCCCGTCCAGGATAAGCCCCAGATAGTTCATCGACAGGGTGAGCCGTACGTCCCTGTCGACGACCCGGACGGCCAGGCCCGGCCGTTGTCCGCGGCGGTGACAGCCTCGGTCTTTTCCGGGGCGACCCGAAGACCGAGCTGCTGGATCCTTTCTACGACGCTGTGAAGTGCCTCATCGGCCTTCAGGCGTACTTCCTCCCAGCTCCCCCCGGCCGCCAGGACAATGGTGTCGTCTGCGTAGCAAACGACCATGCAGTCGGGGGGAAGGTCCGCTTCGGAGAGAACCCCATCAAAAGCGAGGTCCCACAGGAGTGGCCCCAAAACAGAGCCCTGTGGGACGCCTCTCTCCACCGCCCGGTGGACGAGAGCACCGTCCGCCCGTCTATAGCAAAGACTGCGATCCTCCAAATACGACCTCAGGATCCTGCGCAAATAGAGAGGCACCCTGTGTCGCCGGAGGGCCATGCCGATCTCGTTCCAGGGGAGGGAGTTGAACGCATTTCGTATGTCCAAGGACACCCCGACAACCACGTCCCCCTCCTCCCAGGTCTTCTCTATAAAGCCCCTGACACAGAGGATGGCCCCAACCGTGCTCCTTCCCCTACGGAAGCCAAACTGCTTGTCGTGCAGGTTGGGACCCCTCCCGTCCAGGTGCACCACCACCCGCTCAAGGACGATCCTCTCAAGGAGTTTTGCCTCCTCCTCGATCAGGCAAATGGGCCTGTAACCCGCAGCCTGGTCTGCGGGTTTATCTGGTTTCCGCAGGAGGACCAGTCGTGCTCCCCACCAGGTCTCCGGAAAGCAGCCTTGTTTCAGGCATTCTGTATATAGCAGACGGATGCGTTCCTTTAAGACGAGCGTAGCCGCACCCCATGCGGCAGCTCTATAAAGCCCCTGACACAGAGGATGGCCCCAACCGTGCTCCTTCCCCTACGGAAGCCAAACTGCTTGTCGTGCAGGTTGGGACCCCTCCCGTCCAGGTGCGCCACCACCCGCTCAAGGATGATCCTCTCAAGGAGTTTTGCCTCCTCCTCGATCAGGCAAATGGGCCTGTAACCCGCAGTCTGGTCTACGGGTTTATCTGGTTTCCGCAGGAGGACCAGTCGTGCTCCCCGCCAGGTCTCTGGAAAGCAGCCTTGTTTCAGGCATTCTGTATATAGCAGACGGATGCGTTCCTTTAAGACGAGCGTAGCCGCACCCCATGCGGCAGCGGGAACCCCGCTCTGACCCGGCGCCGCGCTCTTCTGGAGCATCCTCTTCCGGGCCGCGAGAAGCTCCTCGTCACCGACCTCATACTCCCGCCTCCAGGAGCCCCAGCCATCCAAGCGGAGGGGAGGCTCGACCCAGGTGTCGGACCCCCCGGACGACGGGAAGAGGTCTCCCAGCACCCGCTCGAGAACCACGGGCTCGAGCGACTCCGCAAACGGCGGGGCCCAATACCTCAACTTGTCCCTAACGAGCAAGTATGGCCTACCCCATGGGTTCTCGTCCAGGGTCGCGACGAAACGATCCCAATAGTCGGACTTAGCCCTGGCTATCGCGCCACGGAGTGCCCGTCTCGCTGCCCTGAGCCGCTCAATCTCGCCCTCTAGCTCGGCACCCTCAGGGTGTCTGCGTCGGGCTCTTTTGAGTGCCCTCCTGGCGTCGAGAGCCGCCTGCCTCAGGTCTGCCAGCTCCCGGCTCCACCAGGGCATGGCCCTCCTGGGTCGCGGCCGTGTGCGCGGCATTGCCGCGTCACACGCGCGAACCAGAATTCTCCTGATATTCGAGGCCTCCACGTCCGGGCCCGCGGCGGCCGGGTCCCCGGCTGGCACCATCGCACCCGCGATAAGCGAGGCCTTCATGAGATCGCCATCGAGAGCCCCCAACTTCCACCGCCGCTCTCGCGGGCGGGTCCCGCGGCAGATCTGTGCCGCAGTTTCGGCAAGCTCGATACAAATATATTGGTGATCCGATAGCGTAACGTCCGGGAGGACGCTCCAGTCCCGTAGCCTTGCCGCAATGACGGGGCTCGCGAAGGTCACATCAACAATGGACGAACCCTGCGGTCTAATGCAGGTAGGCCTGGTGCCCCTGTTGAGGCAGAGAAGGCTCAGACCAGCGGCCCAAGCGGCGAGAATACCGCCCCTCACGTCCGTCCTCGGGGACCCCCAGAGGGTAGCATGCGCGTTAAGGTCGCCGCCGAGGAGAACGGGTCCCCCCCCCGGCTCGCGCCACGCACCCCTCCACCGATGTGAGGACCCCTTCAAAGTCCGACCTGTCGACGCTTGGGGAGACATAAACCCCGATAACCAGAATGTCCCCCCATCGGACCGCGACGTAAGCGTCTCCGCACTCGACCGGAACGCAAGGTAGCGGATTCTTGGTCCTCCTCCAGGTAACGGCTGCCGTTCCGTTAGAGCTGGCCGCCCAGTGAGGATGATCAACCGGGACCCAGTACGGCTCTGTAATAATGGCCATTGCATAATCTCCCTCCGCCAGGGCCTGGTTGAGTAGGTCCTGAGCCCTGGCGGAGTGATTAATGTTGGCCTGCAGCAGTCGGTTCGGCCTATTCCCCGTTCCAGGCATGGAGGGGTTCCGAACTAGTACCCGCCCAGGAGTCCCCGCCATCGGGACCGGCAGCCGCCGTCTCAGGCACCTTCGCGGCGTTCGTCGCGGCCGGGTTCGGGGAGAACTCGGGTATTCCCCCCGTGGGTGCGGGCACCTCCTCCGTGTCCACATCCATCCCCTCGGGGGCAGTGATAGTCCGTTTCGTAATCGGTGAGGACCTGTCCATGTTCATGGATGTAAATTTCCCCCCTGCTTCCCCCGCCTCCTTGGGAAGCGAATTGGGGCCAGCATCCGGGGCCTGCCTCCTGGGCTTACGCCGCGGAGCCAAGGGTGGGTCGCAGGCCTTGCCGCCGAAGCGATGATTCGCCGGGGCCCCCCTATCAGCACATATGGCGCAGCGCGCTTTGTTCACGCAGGAACTAGCAGAATGGCCTGCTTCACCGCATCTGTAGCACAGACCTCGGCGGTCCGTGTCGCTCCGACACTGGCTGGCAACGTGCCCCTTTGTCCAGCATCGGTGGCACTGTAGGCCCCTATCCGCCAGGAGCTCGACCCTGACGCTTGTCCAGCCGATCTTAATCCTCGGGGTCTTTGCGATCAGGAGCGCTGCCCTCAGAGGGCACCTGACCCACACTGATCCCAATCCATTCGGCATAAGGACCATCTTTCCAAGTCTGAAGTTGGCCGGATCACAGGCCCCCAACTTGACGAGGTGATTCTGCAACTCGTCCATCGTGATGGACGCCTCCAAGTCACGTATCCTCACCTCTCCCATCTTTTCCGGGCGAGTGATGCGGACGCCGGGATTATCCGCACTCAGTTCCGCAAGCCTGGTCGCCAGGATATTTGCCTTCTCGACCCCCGCAGCGCCCCCGAGAACCTCGAGCAGAAAAGCCCCGGATTTCGCCCGGCGAGGTCGCAGGTCGGCGATCCCAATCTCCGCGATGTTTATGTTATCCCTGGCACGCTGCATCACATCAGCATAGGTGGTTTCACCTACACAGCTGATGGACACAGCTGCAGACCTGGGTGGACGTCTGGCCTTTTTGGTGGGAGGCGTATCCTTCCCCGCCTCGCCAGTAGCGTTCCTGGCGGGGACCGGTGTTTTTCCGGTCGCCGTCTTCCTAGCTTTACGGCCAACGACTAAGAACCACGAGATGTCCTGTTTCTGGGAGCCAGGTTGGGTACGCTCCTCTACCTTCCTTCCTTCTTCGGGATTTCCCGGTGCCGAACGAGGTATGCGCGGGTCTGTAACCCCGGGAACACTCTTAGGATGGGTCTTACCCGTTCCGATCATGGCCGATTTCTCCCTTTTCTTGGGGAGAACGGGAAGCTTCTTGCTCCCTTTAGTTTGTTTGGCTGGGGCCGGCTGCGTTGGAACAACCGGCACCTCCCCTCCCAGAGAGGGAACCAGATTTTTCTTCAATACAGATTCCACAATCGTGGTAATTCTATCCGTTAGATCGACCTCCAAGGATGGTGGTCCACGGGCATCAGAACGGCTGACGCCGGTGCTTCCTGGAGCCGGCTTGTAGCGGGGGATGGTTTGAACTAATCCGCGACCAGTCTTTCCGCCAGCAACGCCCACCGCCCTAATGTTTCCTTTGTCGTCCACGACCTTTAGGGAAACATTCGCCGGGCGATCCTCCAATATGCGGCATTTTCCCTGCAAAGGGGGACGCCTAGCAAGTGGCCACTCCTCTACTGGAGGGGGGGTGGCCCTTCTCTTAGGCTTGCTTTTGTGCGCTTCGTCCCCTGAGCCGATGTCCATCGGCTGAATGGAGTCGATGGGTCCGCCCGAGGGGGGAGGCCCGCTTCTGGTTCTGCCCGAAAGGGATGCCTTGAGCTTTGTGAGCTCAATCTTGTATCTGTCGGCTTCGATCCTGGCGTCGATCGTCTTCTGCCTTTCA